TCTCGCTCAGACTGACGTCCGGGATATCATCGGAATAATGTCGGATAAGACTCGCTCTAGGATCGTTACTCACACTTGCGTGCGGCTCCAACGATGACGTGTACAGCTGCCCATAAAGCTCTCAATCTCACTCAAAATCTCAGGTGCCCCGGAAACGATGCTGCCACATTCTGTCTTCAGCTTTGACAGTTGGCGCTTTCTGGCAGACAGATCTCTGGCAAAGACTTTGGAGCCTTGGTTCCGCTCGATCGCTTCTTCAATACGAGCTGTATTGAAGTTGCGTAAGTCCCGCCGCATGCATTTGGAGATCTGTCTGTTCAGTTGCCTGTATGCTGTTAAATCTGTTGAAGAATGTAGCTTCATCTCCCGTCTAACAGCCATGAGATTAAGAGTGTGATCGGAGAGTTTTTGTGTTCTTCTGCGGCGGGTCTTGCAGAACTTAGCTCCGACCGCATGGACAGTTTCCACGAGCTTGTCATTCAAATCGTCCACTTCATTGCAATCTTCTAGGCACTGAAAACGGTTTTTTAACTCGAGCTGAAAGGTTTCGGGACTTTGGATTAGAGCACGAGGGGGACGGAGCGTTGACTTCATTAGACGAGACATCTCCAACTTAACGTTTAGGTTCAGTGTGCCTCTAACCATTCGGTGATCGCTGCCGGTTTTTACCCTCGCAATCACTGAGACATCACTGAACAGTTGTCGTCTGGTCGTCATAATGAAGTCAATCTCATTTTTTGTCGAACCGTCGGAGCTCGACCAGGTCCACTTCCTGTGGGGCCGCTTCTGGAAGAAAGAGTTCATCATAAAGAGTCCCTCTTTCTCCATGAAGTCGGCCAGCTGCCGGCCCCTTAGGTTCCGTTGCCCTATTCCAAATTTCCCTACTTTCAGCTCACCGTTCTCTCTTGTGCCTAGTTTTGCATTGAAGTCTCCCATTAACACCGTATATTGGGTTTTGGAGGAATGCATGGCTCTAGAGATATCCTCATACATTTCCTCCACCTCCTGATCGGGGTGTGCCGAGGTTGGTGCGTAAACCTGTATGACCTTCAGCGAATACCGTTTGGTGATTCTGAGTATAAGGTACGCAACCCTCGTCGACACACTCTCAATCTTTACAACGTTGTTAACGAGAGACTTGTGGACGATAAATCCGACACCTCCTTGGGACAGATGGTCGCCCTCCCGGTAATAGAGCAAGTTGCCGGATTCGAGGATTACCGTGTCCTCCCCCTCTCTTCGGACTTCGGATAATCCTATAATATGCCAGCGTAACTTGTCTATCTCTTCTTCCAGCTCCACAATCTTCTCGTCAGTCCTCAGGGTGCGTGCGTTGTATGTTGCCAGGTCGAGTCGTCGTAGGTGGCAACCGAACCTCCACCGGAGATTCTTAGCACCCCCTGCCCCGCCGTTACCATGGTCGCCACCGTAGCCAGGAATAGCGGGGCCGCCGGGGACTGGGGGCCGTTTATTATTGTCATTGCTCATGGGGGGTATATTGCCATAGTTGCCACGCTTGGCGAGCGGTTTGGCAACCGCAGTTTTTTTATTGTTATTTTGGCTATTATCAGGAAGATGCTGCTGCCCATCTCCTGCCTGTTTCCCTTTGTCGCCTTTTACGACACCCACGGGAAGATATGGGGTAGTGGATATTCTTAACCGCCACTACACGGGGATATCCAATAATAATACCATAACATTATATTTTATCAGTATTTCTCGTAATAATTTATTTTTGTATACAAAGATACAAACTAATGAGGTCATCCACGACTTTTTCTGGCACCAGGGCGGCGCCACTTAAAAGTGAGGTATAATATTTGACAGATTTCATTGTAGGAAAGTTAATTTGTTCGAAAAATGTAAAGGTTACTGTTTCTTTTTGTACTATTAGCTATATTTTATATTAATAAGATAAAAATAAATAAACTAAATCACAGATATTCATAAAAGTAGAAAAAATCAAAAAAAATGTGCAAAAAATTAAAGAGCACACCACTGAGGCATTATTTTGTGTATTAGTATAATATTCTTGAAACTGGTAAACTTTTATTAAAACCCAACTTCTCGTCAATAAATTACATTGTGTAACGAAAAACTTTACCGCACTGTCAACTAGCGACATCTGGTGAGCAGAAAATTATTAGCCCTCATCACTATTTTACAAAACTAGTTGCGTTCCGCAGCTTCACCTTATTCGTCCTGATGGTAACAAAGGCTTGTGCTGTTGTGCAGCATCTCCGGTATTCCGCTTAAAATATTCGATAAGGGGTTGAACAGAATTTATAAAACAGGTTAAAATTATATGTTGGTTCTGTTTATTGAGCCACGTTACAGATATGCAAACGACAAATACTTAGTCGGGTCATAAGTTCTGTCAAAGCCTTATTACTTAAAATTTTTGAATAATGGCTAGATGAACTTCCCCAATTTTAAAAATATAACGTTTGCGCTTGCCGAAAATAAAAAGACATTAATATCCATTCATTTTCAAATATGGAGTGGTCGAAGAAAGAAGATAGAGTAGCGGTTATCGCCTTGCACCGCTGTGGTTACGCGCCAAAAGAGATTTTCAATATTCTACAAAAAATTGAAAATAACCCTACGATTTGTTCATCGCACTATGAAATGATTCACTGAAGATTCAAGCTTCGAAGATCGTAAGAGGACCGGCCGACCTCGTACAGTTAGGACGCCCGCGATCATCAAAGCAGTGAAGGCGTAAATCCAACGAAATCCTGTTCGTAAACAAAAAATCTTAGCTCTTCAGATGGGCCTAAGCAGAACTACGGTCAAAAGAGTGATCAATGAAGACCTTAGACTAGGAGCTTTTCGCAAGAAGACCAGACATTTTTTTGAACGAGCGTTTGAAAAAAGTTAGGCTAGATAGATCCCACGCTTTTTTACGCCGGTACGCGGGAAAAATGCCGCGAATTTTTGTTCTCCGATCTGCAAGAAAACTGGTGATCCAATTGCACAATTTCTCGGGAAGCCAATAGGTAGCTTCGAAAGACGTGCTTTGTGCCAGACCCGATCAAAGGCCTTCGCTATGTGCAAACTAACGGCCAACGCCTCCCCCTCGGACTTCACTGCCTCCGCCCATCTATGAGTTAGGTAACCTAAAAGATCACCGGCTGAGGGACCTCGACGGAAATCGTACTCGCGGTTACTAATCAGCTGGTGATCCTCAAGGTACCGCATAAGCTGGCTGTTAATAATGGTTTCCATTACTTTGGAGAACAAGGAGGTGATAGCGATAGGCCTGTAGTTGGACGGATCGGAGCGGTCACCTTTTTTGGGGATCGGGTGCACGAAAGCTGTCTTCCATGAGTTCGGGACTACGCCTAGGGAGTAGGAGTACCGGAAAAGACGCGTTAAAACCGGTGATAACTCCGGAGCACACGTCTTCAGCACAATAGGTGGGACTTCATAAAACCCACTCGACTTGTTAACATCCAGGGAGAGGAGTGCTTTACGCACCGAGCGCTGTGTAAACAGCACTTCCTGCATGGAGCACTTACACCGCGGCATGGTCAGCGGTATGTACCCCCGTCATCTAGAGTCGAGTTGGAAGCAAAAAGAGCGCCTAGCAGATCGGCTTTCTCTTTTGCGTCATGGGCCAGTAAGTCGTCCACCCTGTGCAGAGATGGCAGAGATGGCTGACAGAAGTTCCCTTGGACAGCCTTGGCGAGAGACAGGAATGCACGTGTTTCCGAAGGGAGGTGAACTAGTTTCTCGCCAATTCTGCCGATGTCCTCTGACTTTGCCTTGGCAATGACTCTTTTGGAATTATACGGAATCATACTTCTTTTTAAGAGCGCTGGTATTTACATCCCGGGACGTTGATGCGTCAGCCCAGGTTCGGTAGCACTCCTGCTTATAGCATGATGCAATTTTACAGGAGTGGCCAAACCATGGCTAATTTCTGCCTCCGATGGGTACTACAGATGATGGAATAAAGAATTCCATTGCCTGAAGTACCACATCAGCGACAGAATTAGCAATAACGTTGGGATAATCCGGCGAGAAGCAAACCCAAGGGTAGGATTCAAAAAAGACCGCATCCCGTCCCAATCGGCCGACCTATAGAGCCAAACACGGCGGCAAGCTGCAAATCGCAACTGCGATGGGAGCGTGAGTGGCACCGTACTCCGGATCAGACAATGGTCCGAAGAGCTCAGAGGGGCATCGACGGAGACCTGATATCCGTCCGGATGAGAGGTCAGCAGAAGGTCCAACAGGGAAGGTACATGATCCTCCACATCTGGGATCCGCGTAGGCGAAGTAACCAGTTGTGTTAGACCATATGCCAAGGCAAAGTCATAGACAGATCTACTCGCATGATCGGTTAAACGGGAACCAAGCCATTCAGCGTGGTGGGCATTAAAATCACCGAGTATCACGATCTCTGCGGATGGGACGTGTTGTAGCACGGAGTCTGCAGCCATTTGGACGTGGTCGATGAGTCGGTCTGTGTCGGCATTACCGCTATGGGACCTATAGAGGCACCGGTAGACGCGGGGATGGTCGTCGCTGTCTACGCGCAGCCATAGGATGGACAGGTCCGTACCTTCAAGACTGCGGAGGCGTCGAAAACAGATGTCCTCTCTGACGTATACGCAAACCCCAGCCCGAGGCACAAAGGAGTGTTCTAATTTGTACCCCGTCTCTAGGTGGTAATGGACAGCGTTAAGGTTGGAATGAAGTCCCCTGATGTTGCAAAAATTCACGGATAGCGTTACAGGTCTTATTGCTCTTGCCCCGGTTCTAGCTGGCCCATCCATGCGACAGCAAAAGCTGCCGAGTGGCTCTACCACTATTAAGGTGACCAACATGTATAAGAAATAAGATAATTCGATGACATAACTATGGAATCCATCTACACACACTGAGGTAGCGCAGCGAAATCTGTGCCCCAAAACCTTTTCAGTAATAGAGAAAGAACGCCCGTGCCCACGTAACAATGTAAGTTTTAACTTTTATAATATCCAGGATTCTACCTCAGTGTCGTATATCCAGAGCGGAGTCTCGTGCGACGAGGAGCCCGCTTCGCCTCCGAACACATAGAGCTTGTTCTCGTGCGCAGTGGCGGTGTGCTCCTGTAGTGCAGGCGGCGCGTCCCCTCGGCTCTCTAGACGCTCCCATTCACCCGTAGCTGTAACATTTAGAAATGGTTTAATATCCTAAAAACCATGATATTTTTTTATAGAATAAGCTTGACAAACGAGCATACAGACCACCTGATGGTAAGTGGTTGCTTTGGCCCATTGACGTCTACATCTATAGTCGATTTAAGAATCTAAATACAGGCTACTATATAGGCTAATCTTGAAGACTAAAATGGAATTTCTCATACCCAGTAAAAAGGGTCTCCGGTTCTCTACACTCACCATACGAAACACAGCAGCATTAAGCTGCTATTTCACGCTGGTATTCTGTGAGAGCGTGACCCTTTCCTTTGAAGAGAATCCACTATCCAATATCCCCGATGGATGGTCCCCGTTTATCTGTGCCACTCATAACGATAATGATAACGATAACTTAAGAAATTAAGTTTACTTGTGTATTTTTTTTTATTAGGATAGGGTGACAAACGAGCATACAGTCTACCTCATGGTAAATGCTTGCTGTGACCCATATACATAAAGACAAATCCTCAATAAAGGATCAATCAATCGGATGCGTTGTCAGTTGTTACCCGTGAGGACTAAGATGGAATGCCACCTTTCCAGTAAAAAGGGTCTCCGGTTGTCTACACTCACAATACGAAACACAGCAGTGTTAAGCAGCCATTTTACGCTGGTATTCTGTGAGAGCGTGGTCCTTGCCCGGTTGCTCCGACCCATCCGTGCTACAACTATACCACTAATATAGCTGCAGCATTGCTCTACCGCGTATAAAATATTTTTCTCATGCTACTTCATGACCATATGATTTCGCTCTTAATAAATAAGTAAGTTTCACCGTTAAATAGATGTATGCGAACTTATAACAGCTTAAACAATCATGACATCGACATCTTTAGCGACCCCGAACGTGTATTCAAAAGAAAATGTAAAGACTTACTATTACCTACCTTGCCCGATTAAAGATTCTAAACTATTATTTATTGCATTTTTTTACTGGATGTGGTGCTTTTGCTCAATTAGTTTGATTTGTGTTTGTTTAGAGTTTATATGTATGTTGTTTAGTTTTTTTTTTCATATAATGATGTATACACCTGTAAAGACATATCCTTTGTCTAAAAAAATTGTATTTCGTTCGTAACAATGCATATTGATATTGTCGATGGTGTATCTATCTAAATAAATAAAATAAATAAATAAGTCTTTAGTATCACTTCCCGTATCAGTATCACCGTATATAAGAAAAAATAAAGCTTTCCACCAAAACTAGTATGCAACGTCAGGACTATGTACTAATTGGTGTGCTGGTATGTCGATTGTGTGCCCTCGACCTAATTAGTGCCAGCAGTGCGCGGTGAGTAATGTTGCTTAAAGTAAGCGCTGCACAATGCGAAGTGCTCTCAACTATATCTCTTACCAATAACATTCTTACCCGTAGGTAAAAGCTCGGAGTGTAATGGAAAAAGTAGCGTTGCGTTAGTTAGCACCGTTTACCCAATTTTTTTTGTTCGTTTTTGACTGTCTTTACAGTTACATAACTTACTTACCGCCAGGGAAAAAGTGATAGTTTATTATTTATTTATTTTTAAGTTTTTTTTAAAAATAATCAGGGTAATAAACGAGCACACAGTCCAGCTGATGGTAATTAGATGCTGTGTCCCATAGACATCTACGTCAGTCTCTATTAAGAATCAGAATGATGCGTTGTCTCTCATAAGGACTAAGATGGAATGCTTACGTTTCCAGTAAAAAGGGTCTCCGGTTTTCTATATTCACCATACGAAACACAGAAGCATTAAGCTGCTATTTTACGCTGGTATACTATGAGAGTGTGGTCGTTCCCCGGTCGAGCCGACCCATTCGTGCTACAAGCATAATATAAACTGTGTGGTCTGTGTGGGTCTGCCACGTGTAAAAATTTCCTAATTTTTGTCGTGTTTTATTTGATCTAGTATCTTTTAGGTTAGGTTTTAATCATTACGTCAACTTGCAACTCAAATATTTTTTTATGTGCTTTCTAAATAAAGACTTAAAAAAGCCTTTGTTTATAAAAGCAATAATTTTTAAAATAAAAATAAATTTAAGCACACAGCTATTTCGACTTTCTGATGTCTATTCTAAGATTAATAATTAATTACTTCTGCATCTTTTCAATAATTTAATAATTGATTAAAATTTAATTAATAATTAATTAAATTAAATTTCTTCTATACCCTCGTCATCAGCAATGATAATTATTTATTTGTATTAGTTATTATATGGCAGAACGTTAAAATAACGTTTGCGTATTAACGATTCTCATTCCACATAACATACATAAAGACTTACGCCTGTCATCCAGTGGCGTAGGCAGATACTACGGACTTTGCACGATCCTGACACATCTCTCTCGCTTCCTTTACATCCATATATCTACGCATACACGCTCGTCGGTTAAGGGTACTCCTAATCTGGCCCATTTTCAATATATCACCGATTTGGTCGATAAACTTTCGTCTAGGGCGTCCCTTCCCGACTCTGTCGTTCACTTCTGCAACATAAATTTGCTTTGTCACTCTTTCCTCGTTCATTCTTACTACATGACCAAACCACCGAAGCATTCCTTTCTTAAAGGATTAAGTTATTGTGTGGTTTGCAAGATGACGTTGTGACCAGAAGGTCTTGCATCTTGCAAACCACACTTTTCTCTTATCACACAATTTTTAACCTTGGATTTTAGATTCATTCTCATTCTATGTTTCGTAAACTGTCTTATAACGACTTTAACAATAAACTTTTAGCTGTCATTTGTTTATTATTTTATACTAAGTAAAATCTTTTTTAAATCTTTATATTTAACTGGCTTAAAATTATTAGGCGGATGTTCTCGTATATCTACATGTTTTTATGTTTTTTTTATATATACGATAAGAGTGACATTGTATGTTCGAACATAACTTCTTTGATTATGTTTAAATAAAATAGTTTTACGGATTTTATCGCGTATATTAACTTATTTTATATTCCAATACCAAAGAAACACTCCGAAAAATTAAATCTGGACGTAAAATCGATAATACCTACGTGTGCCAAACTACCGAAGTTGTATTGGTAACCAAAAATACACAAGCCCAATGCACCACTACGCCCCATAGTGAGCCAAATTGATTCACTAATTTACAGATTGGCTCAACACTTTTTTTAACGTTACTTTTTTTTTACGTAACGTTTAATGATTTGCCCTTTGAATATGCAGTCAGATACTGCCTTACATCTGGCTACCTATTGTGGAAGGAAGAGTTCTACAAGCAAGTAGATGGTGTGGCGATGGGCTCTCTTGTATCTGCCATTGTCGCCGATATATTCATGGAAGACTTTGAGGAGAAAGCCCTGCTTACCTCCCCCGAAGTCCAAGATTCTACAAGCGGTAAGTAGACGACACTTTCACAATTCTACCTTTAGATAAAAAATAGCTGCATTTTTAGACCATCTTAACTTTATAAATTCTAAAATTCAGTTCACAATGGAGTTAAACTTCCAGTAAAACTAGTTTTATTTAAATGAGCTGTGTGCGCGTAAATATGCGAAATCATTCTTTGTTTATGAACCGATATTAATGATTATTTTTTTATTATATAATTTATACTGCAGCTGTGATCAATTTTTTTTTATAGGATAAGTGTGACAAACGAGCACACAGTCCACCTGATGGTTAGTGGTTGCTGTGGCCCATAGACATCTACATCTATCTTCGATTACGAATGAAAACGCAGATGCGTTGTCACCCGTGAGGACTAAGATGGAATGCCTCGTTTTCGGTAAAAAGGGTCTCCGGTTCTCTACACTCACCATACGAAACACAGCAGCGTTAAGCTGCTATTTGACGCTGGTATTCTGTGAGAGCGTGGTCCTTCCCCGGTCGAGCCGACACATAATATAGCTGCAGCATGACTCTACCACGTATTTCGGAGAAAAAATTCCATTTCCAAGGGAATAAAAAACTTTAATAAGAAAACAATTTCCACATAACTTCTTGAGTCTGTGTTAATAAGCCATAGTATAAAGAAGTATTAAAGTCTCGACTTTTTGTTTTAGTTTTTGAAGTCAGTCTTTTTAATAAGAGTCTTTTTTATACGATGAAAGCTTGGCACGGTGCGAACAGGGCGATGAGGTAACGCCGGTCAATGTCAAGAAGATGTTAGGTAAAGAGAAATTTGACATGATGACCTGAGTCGTTAAGCGAAAACCTACCCGTGCCTACCACGTCGCCATTCTTTCATATTGTTTAGTTATTTTAATGATGTAAACAACTTTCTACACGTGGTTGTCGTTGCAGCTGTATTATGGTTGTAACACGAATGGGTTAGTTTGACCGGGGAAGGACCTCGCTCTCACAGAATGCCAGCGTAAAATAGCAGCTTAATGTTACTGTGTTTCGAAAGTGAATGTGGAGAACCGGAAACCCTTTTCGCTGGAAATGCCTCGGGCATTCCATCATATTTCTCAAGATGACCTGCATTTTGATTCTTGTCTTCGGAATGGCTGAAAAGATTATTACGCAACTTTATGAACAGGTAGAGAGCAATAACATGAGGGATTTGGGCTATATTTTATCTGACAAAAGTTATATTTAAAAAAATCGAACAGTTGGTAATTGAAATGGTCTTACATCTAAATAAATTTAAGTTATGCAAGGTATGTAGTTAATTGGTAAGTTAACGTACTAACGTATTGTCACTTTTTGACATTTTGACTCATCTGACATTGACACCTCTCACTTTTTGTGTCTATGGTGCGTTAACGTTCCGTTTCTTCATTTATTGTTAAGTTAATTATAGATTTCTTTCAATACTGCTGGCAGGTAGTTTACTGATGACTTATTTATTTTTGAATTTATTTATTTTATATATACATATACATATTTTATTTATATATATATATATATATATATATATATATATATATATATATATATATATACATATTTATATATATACTTATATACATACATTTAGTAATCAGGTATAATTTAATATGATTTCTTCAGATGATAGTGTTCGGAGTTCCAATTCCTTCGCCTTTAATTCTGCTTCTGATGGATTAAGCAGCATTGATAGCTTTGAAAGCATTGCACCCTTAAATATTATGTTAGATTCAATTTTTACTGAATGTAGCAAAAACTTTAATGCTATTCACATAAATGCTCAAAGTATTCCTGCTCATTACCCCGACATGTTGTCAAGTTTTAATAGCAAAAATATACACGCTATCCTTGTTTCGGAGTCATGGTTAAAACCATGTCTTCCATCAACATCCTACTCGCTTCCAGGTTTTCATTTGATTCGTAACGACCGTACCGATCGGGGCGGTGGCGGTGTTGCTATTTATCTACGCTCTCATATACCGTATTCAGTAATTCAGGTTTCAACTGGTTCTCAGACTGGAGGCGAAGCAGAATTTCTCTTTATCGAAGTTCTTCTCGGTCATACTAAATTACTTCTCGGAGTCTTTTACAGCCCCTCTCTCACTGTTGACTACTTCACCACGTTAGAAAATATTCTTGAAAATCTTACACCTATCTATTGTCATAGTATAATTATGGGTGACTTTAATACTTGTCTTTTAAAAACCAACGCCAGATCTATTAAACTAAAATCTGTTATCGAAGCAGCAAATTTAAAACTTCTTCCTACTTCTGCCACACACTTTTTCCCGAACTGTGCCCCTTCTCTTCTCGACATAATGTTTGTGTCTTCACTTGACCTTGTTCATAAATTTGGGCAATATGCTGCTGATTCTTTTTCCTATCATGACCTTTTATACTTGTCTTACAAAATCCGTCCCCCTAAAGCTAAGTCAAGGATCCTACTTCAGCGTAACTTTAGTAACTTGGACTTGAAGCAGCTTTTAAATGACGCTCGAAAAATTGATTGGAATGTAGTCGTCAATGCTTCCACTGTTGATGAACAGGTAGCTTTGTTCAACTCTTTGTTAATTCAGCTTTATGACGTTCATGCTCCTGTTCGTCCAGTGCGTGTAAAGCATCCTCCCTCTCCATGGCTGACTGATGATATAAAAAAAATCATCCACATTAAAAATTGTGCCAAAGCGAAATACAAGTCAGTTCCTAGCGACCTGAATCGAGAGAAGTATAGATTAGTACGGAATCGTTGCAACAATCTGTGTAGAAAAGCACAACGACGCCATATCCATGAATCAGTACAAGATCCTGACCCTGCTAGGGTCTGGAAATTTCTTAAGTCTTTAGGAGTTGGGAAATTACGACAAAATTTCACTCACCTTAACTTTGATCTCAATCAACTTAATTTGCATTTCTCATCTTCGTCTTGCATTAACGATAATGCAAAACACAATACTTTGGATTCCCTTTCAAAAACTCCCGCTCCAGACACCTCTGCTTTTAATTTTAGTCAATTTAACAGTTGTGATGTTATGAAAGCCATAATGTCCATCCATTCAAATTCAATTGGTAGTGACTGCATTAGTCGGAAAATGGTCATCCCTCTCATTGATCTCCTTTCACCTGTAATCACTTCCATCCTGAATAATTCACTGAATTCTTCTATTTTCCCTTCAGCTTGGAAAGATGCATTTGTAGTTCCTCTTCCGAAAAAGTCGAATCCGTCTAGTTTTTCTGATTATAGACCTATCTCTATCTTGCCTTTCCTTTCCAAAGTTCTTGAACGTCTTGTGCACAATCAATTAAGCATCTATCTTTTAAAACATAATCTTTTAAATCCTTTGCAATCCGGTTTCCGTCCTGGCCATAGTACGACTACTGCACTTTTACAAATCACTGATGATATTCGGTATGGTATGGAGAAACAAAAGCTTACCATTCTTACGTTACTTGATTTTAGTAATGCATTTAATACAGTAGATTTTGATATCTTGTTGGGCATCCTGCGCTTTCTCAACATATCTCCAACTATAGTTGACTGGTTTCGAAGTTACTTGTTTGGTCGCCGACAGCGCATTCAGGTGCAAGATGTTTTTTCCACCTGGACTACTACAGCGGCTGGCGTACCACAAGGTGGCGTGTTGTCTCCTCTCCTGTTTGCAATTTTCATTAACTCTATAAGTCATAATCTGTCCTCTTCCTACCACTTGTATGCTGATGATCTCCAAATCTATACTCAATCTTCTCTTGAAGATTTGTCTAAATCAGTTGACACTATTAACGCTGATCTGACTTGTATTTCGAATTGGAGTAAACGTTATGGTTTAACGATCAATCCCAAGAAAACTCAGGCAATTATCATCGGTAGTTCTAGATTAATTGGAAAAATTGACTGGTCTTCCCTACCTCCTATTTTACTAGACTGCACTCAAATCCCTTACAGTAACAAGGTTAAAAACCTGGGGTTGTATCTCGACTCTTGTATGTCTTGGACCTCACAGATTAATGAGGTTAGTAGAAAAATGTTTGCTGCTTTAAGCTCTTTACGTAGATTACGTAATTTTCTTCCCACAGTAACTAAAGTTACGCTCGCCCAGTCTCTACTTCTACCTATCCTTGACTATGCTGACATATGCTATCTTGACATTACCGAGGAGCAGCTTAATAAGCTTGAGCGCATTCAAAATTTATGTATTAGATTCATATTTGGGCTTCGCAAATATGATCACATCTCTGAATTTCGCAAACAGCTCAAATGGCTCCCGATCCGCCTTCGCAGGAATACTCACATTCTCTCTACTTTGTATAGCGTGCTGTTTAATCCTTCCTCTCCTCATTATTTAAAAGACCGTTTCCAGTATCTTTCCCTTACCCATAATCGGTTCCTTCGATCCTCCGTCAATCTTTCTCTCTCTACTCCTTCGCACTCTTCCTCCTTTTTTAAGAAATCCTTTAGTGTAACTGCTGTACGTTTGTGGAACTCTTTACCTCTCCACATTCGTCGTGCTCAATCTCTTCATTCTTTCAAATGTCTTGTTAAATCCTATTACTTAGAACACTATTAGATAAATCACTTTTCCTTTTTCGTACTCTTTTCATTTAATCTATTATATTATATCATACATAATCTTCACTTGCCTTTATTTGTATGTATTTTATATTTTTTATTTTTATTTTTGTACGCCCCCCTCTATTTTTAACTATTATTTACATCAGTTCTCTACACTAAGGTTGTCTGGAAGAAATCACTTTCAGAGTGATAAGACCGCCTGTTGTACATTTTCTAATTTAGATTTAATTGTATTCGTTTTTGTTTTGTTTTTGGTGTACAATAAAGAGTAAATAAATAAATAAATAAATATTATCCAGGCGAAGCCCAGGCGGGCCACTAGTTAAAGCAAGTTAGCAAATACCTGTAAAAGTATCTATTTTATTCTAGAAAAAATATTCAACGGATCAGTAAGTTGAAGAGGCAATGGGCCTTTATATATGTATCTTCTTCGAGCTATAGCCAATATAGTTCGAACAACCGACAACCGATGAGGAAAAAAGGTTCTCGAGTGGCAGTCTCGTACCGCTAGGCGAAGTGTAGGGCATCCCCCCACTAGATGGAGTGACGACCTTGTAAGAGATGCAGGAAGTCGATGGATGCAGGTGGCTCGGGACCGTGCTATGCAGCATTCCTTGGAGGTGTGACTTGTGAAGGGCTGTAATAATGATTATTATTCCATTCTTAATATATCGTTATTAATAATAACTCACCTAGAGAAAACCTCCAGAAGTCCTTGAGGGGTACAGCGCCTCCCGCCCCGCGGCCGCCCAGTACGTACACATATCCGCCCAGTAGCGTGGCCGAGTGCTTGCCGCGAGCACAGGGCACTGCGCGCGAATCCCCGCACCCGCTGTCCACGCACCGCCACATCTCACCTGCGGGGACAATGAGAGCAAACAATCTTATGCTCAAGTGCGCAATGTCATTTAATTGAGAATTTAATTTTTATACGTGGTAGAGCCACGCTGCAGCTATATTATGGTTGTAGCATGAATGGGTCGGCTCGACCGGGTAGGATCACTGAATACCAGCGTCAAATAGCAGCTTAATGTTGCTGTGTTTCGTATGGTGAGTGTAGAGAACCGAAGATCCTTTTTACTGGAAACGAGGTATACTGACATAGTACTTCAACGCTGAATACATTCATTATTATATAATTTTGAGTAAAATACACAAATATTTAAAACTGATGATGTATCGTGATGATGTATACGTGTAATACACGTCATAATCACAATCATCAGGACTGGATTATATTAATACAAAAAAAAATTGCCTCAGTGGTTTGCTCTATAAGTTTTTGCATATTTCAATTAATTTTTTAATTTTTTTACTTTTATAACTTGTTTATTCTTTTCTAATCTAATTATTATATAATATGCTTAATATTACACAAAGAAACATTAACCTTTATATTTTCCTAACAAATGAACTTCTTCGCTATGAAATATGTCAAATATTCCACCTACATCCAAAGTGCCGTCGCCTTGGTGGCAAAAAAAGTCGTGGATGCCCTCCATGTTTCTCCTGAATTTCTTTATTAGGATTAATGAACGTCAAATGAGATCTTAGAACGTGTCAATAAAGGCATTTATACCAACGTGGGTTGATAATCTTACGCTCATCAGATCGTCGCTAGTCGGGGCTGAGGTGATCATATTGAAACGGTGTCGTCGCCATTGGACAGTTGCGATTTATTTATTTATTTATTTCTATGGATCTTCAATAGTTGTACATATTAAATTACTTCTAACACAAGCCTTACATCTACAAATTACTATGTACTACCATTTATAGGAGAACACATCACTCTAAAACAATAACAGTGTTTATAAAATTGGCCTATCTTAAAGTTAGTTGGAACAAAATAAGTATAACGAACAAAAGATAGATAATAGTTTTTCTAACATAAATAAAAGTTAAGGTAAGCATAAAGTTAGTAACTAATTAATTTTATTTTTTATAGGATTGGGTAACAAATGAGCACACAGTCCACCTGATGGTAAGTGGTTGCTGTGACCCATAGACATCTACATCTATCCTCCTGTGAGGTCTAAGATGGAATGCCTCTTTTCCAGTAAAAAGGGTCTCCGGTTCTTTACACTCACCATACGGAACATAGCAGTGTGAAGCTGCTATTTTACGCTGGTATTCTGTGAGAGTGTAGTCCTTCCCCGGTCGAGCGGACCCATTCGTGCTACAACTATGCTGCTAATATAGCTGGAGCATGGTTCTATAATAATTATTGCTGTATTCTTTGATTTATTACATATTTCTGACTTTTATTTAATCTTCTACTTTTAAAATATCCGTAGTTTTGGTTATCCTTTTCTAATTTAATTAAAATACCAATATTACAGAAAGAAAAATCTTTTATTAACCTTTACACTTTCCTAACAAATTAACTGGTCAATGAAATTGGATATAACCAAGAAGCATAAGATAAAATAAACGCTGTAGAAATGCAGTCATGAGGAAATATGATATGGGTGACTGCAAATGATGGGGTGAGTACTTTTTGTGTGATAAGCGAAAAGCGTGGTTTTCTAGATGTGAGGGTTAAGAAAAGAATGCCACGAGAGTGTCGAAAAGTAGAAGAAATGAATGTTTTTTTTATAGGATAAGGACGACATGTGAGCACACCGTCCACCTGATGGTAATTGGTTGCTGTGGCCCATAGACATCTATCTACCCTCGTTTGCGAATCAAAATGCAGATACGTTGTCAGCCGTGAGGATTACGATGGAATGCCTCGTATCCAGTAAAAAGGGTCTCCGGTTCTCTATACTCACCATACGAAACATAGCAGCACTAAGCCACTATTTTACGCTGGTATTCTGCAAGAGCATGGTTCTTCCCCGGTCGAACCGACCCATTCATGCTACAACTATACAATTAATATAGCTGCAGCATGGCTCTACGACGTTCAGAATGAAGAAAGAGGGACAAAAGAAATTTATGCTGCAGACGTGGTGATAAATTGGATAGCGCCAGTTGAAGGTGGCCCAAGTTGTAAGTTGCAAGAGTATCCCCATCCGATGTGCATGTATGCGTAGATATATGGATGTGAAAGAACCGAGAGAGTTAAGTCATGATTATGCGAAATGGGAGTCGGTAGTCCCTGCGTCCGTCTGAACCTGCACCCGTCACCCGTCTGGGTGACAGACGTGATCATTTATTTTTACACAATCATACTGCTCTTCCCGTAATCGGCCCAAATTCGGTACGTGAGGGTAATATATCCACCATAAGCTTTGCTGCCCTAAGAAACCAAAACTAGGAGGACGAGGGAGACAAATACACAAAGTCATAAACTATAACTAATATATTAAGAGAAAAATAGCATAATGGTTTCTTATATTAACACGAACAGTCCCCCCCCCTCCCCCGTAAATAAAACATAAAAATAAATGTATGTAAAGTACCCGAAACGTTAGGAGTTAAATATATAAGATAAGATAAGTAAATTAAACGCGATAAAATAAACGCGATAAACAAAATTTTGGAAAAATAGCAAACAAACTTTGGAAATAATTAGGAACACTTCGAAAAATGAACTTTAAAAAAACTAACTGCACTACACACTAGTAAAATATGGTCAATATTTTACTAGTGTGTAGTGCTGGATGACCACATTCCTTTCACGAATAAATAGTTCGTAAAAAGAATATGGATAACAAACAATCCTAGAGAACATTATAGGAGCAAAAAATATGAATGCATTTCCCTATGTCGATATTTCGAACACACAAATGATTAAAAAGCTCTCCGAAAATTATACGCCTACATATTTATTGATAATGTAAATAATGTCTGAATTTTATGACTTTCAATAAGTGTTCTTGTAGTCTATATTGCATAAACATGATTCTATTACAAAATAATTTTGTAAAGTTGTTATACTTTGGTTTAGTATTTTATATACACAAAATAATCTACCTTCTAGGTTTTCAAGCAATTTTGTAAAAGCATTTTTACACCCTACTAGTCCTTAATAATTGAGGTTGCTCGAATTCAAAGGCATTTTCCGACAAAAATGCAGTGCATTGCTCCCTTTCGTTTCCCCTTCAAAATACATCCTAGTAGCATTCCATATGTACGTTAAATGAAAAGCCGGGTCCCTCGGGGCTCGTTGGTAGGACCGGCACTCTTCCTGCTCTATAAGTATTGCTCATTGAGATTTGCGACCCTTCTTTTACTATGAAGGGTCTTGTTTAGGAAATGTCGTTTTAACGTGTAAATATTGGTCAGACAAGAGAAAACATCGGTTAGAAGAAGCAGTAACAATGTCAACTAGATTTCGCATCGTTGTTATTTTTGTTCAATTATTTTGAGTTTAATTTGTTCTTAATGACCTGTCGTATAAGTAGCGAATTTCCGGTTCAAATGTAGAAACCAACATTTGTGTTCACATATAAATTATTGCTTTCCGTAGGATGAGCTGTAATTGCCTTTGTGTCTTTATATTTAGTATTTAAATAAGTATAAAATTAAATTTATGTAGATGTTAATATCTGTTCAGTAAGAAACAGCAACTCGCAAATTTTATATCGAGACACAATGATCTGCTGCGATCTGAGGGCCACTTGTACCAAGTGGTAACATTGCGACGCGTATTGCGCTGTCATAGTACATTAAAATAATCTTTAAAGAATTTATGTACATATTTAAAAAGATAAAAGATTTGAAATTTTCTTTTCTTTTTTTTATAGAATAAGGGTGACAAACGAGCACACAGTCGACCTGATGGTAAGTGGATATTGCGGCCCATAAATATATACATTTTTCCTCGATTCACAATCAAAATGCAAATGCGTTGTCAGCCGTGAGGACTAAGATAGAATGCCTCTTTTCCAGTAAAATAGGTCTCCGGTTCTCTACATTCACCATACGAAATACAGCAGCATTAAGCTGCTATTTTACGCTGGTATACTGTGAGAGCGTGGTCCTTCCCCGGTCGAGCCGACCCATTCGTGCTACAACTATCCTATTAATATAGCTGCAGCATGGCTCTATCACGTAAAAAATACATAAAATCATACTCATAGAACATTTAATTTACCGGAACCACATTAGAAAATGTTTGCTTAGTATGTATCTACCTACCCAGTAAGGCCAAGGACTCATGGAAAGATATTTACTCGTACAGTACTGTACTAGGTACAGAAACTGCTATTTCATTTCAAAACTCACGAAATCGCATTTTTGTGTGGATTCCACCGCACGGCGGGTTATTTGCATTGGATCAATTGCTAAGGCATCAATGCTATACGGCCACGCTCACCACGCTCACTTCGGTTTACGACCGCAGAGGGTGCGGGCACCGATAGCACTAGCTGGCCACCGCGTGATTGAAAATGAAATATATATGTTTTTTATTTATACAGCTTAAGGTGATACAAATTATCAAATACAACATAAGATAGTAAAATGGAAGTAAAGTAGTCTCATTTCTCTAGTATATGATCATCATCATATCAACTAAGCTGGCGTGTATAATTTGTGGTCCGCACACTAAGCATGCCTGTGTCATGAGGGCCTAATTGTATCCGATTATACAATGCAGTTCAAATAAGAATAGGAACGTTACTTGAAAAGTACAGCGTGCAAAGAAAATTAATTTTCCTCTTTTATATTTATTTAACTAAGTTTATTTTTTAAATAGAATAAGGGTGGCAAACGAGCACACAATCCATCTGATGGTAAGTGGTTCATGTGGCCCATAGACATCTACATTTATCCTCAACTAAGAACCAAAATGCAGATGCGTGGTCACCTCTGAGGACTGAGATGGAAAGCTTCGTTTCCAGTAGAAAGGGTCTCCGGTTCTCAACGTCACCATACGAAACACAACAGCGATATGCTGCTAT